ACACACACACACACACACACACGAGAGCGCTACAGCAGCGGAGGCATTCTAAACAGGAGTGGGCGGGGACAGGGTCTGGTTGTGGGCGGGACAGGAGTATCACTCTCTGTGTGCAGTGACCGACCTTAAACCAGTCGCTGTAGGACTGGAACACCGCTGGGCCCTCGAGAGCCGCCTGCCGCGCCAGCAGGAACACACTGATCATCTGCTCCACATCGAAGAGGAGGAACGCCGAGCTGAGGAGCGCACGCAGCACCTCTGAACACACACACACACACACACACACATGAGAGGGAGAGACACACACACAGAAAGCATGAGGAGCGTGAGAGTGTGTGTGTGTGTGTGTGTGTGTGTGTACCTGAGAGACAGCTCTGCGTCTGAGAGTCGAACACCAGCAGATGAGACACACAGCACAGGATCAGACGCCAGTTCACCTCATGAGTCTCCAACACCTGCTGGAGCTGAGCCAACACACACTGCACACTGAACAACACACACAGCTGACACACACACACACACACACACACGATCAGTCTTCCAGCAAATGACTGATGTGTTTGATTTTGTCCTGTTGTGTGTAACAACGTCCGGATCTGATCATGCGAAGAAAACCCAGGATTGTGTGTGTGTGTGTGTGTGTGTGTGTGTGTGACAGCAGGTTTACCTTGCGGAAGAGAGCCGTCAGCAGCGCAGGAGTTTTAGCAAAGCTCCAGTCACTCTGTACAGCGATGGCATCTGACACTACACACACACACACACACACACACACACACACACACACACACACACACACACACAGTCAGAACCACAGCACGTTTGAACACACACCAATCACACACTGATAAAAGCAACACAAAACCGATACTGGACAGTGACATAAACACACAGCAGATGATCAGCCTGAGGAAGCGTCTGTGTGTGTCTGACCTGTAAACACGGGCCGGTGTGTGAGAACACGCGTGAGTGTGTGTGTGAAGAACTGCCGCAGTGTGTCCTCAGAAACACACACACCAAACACTGATGCATCAAACACCTGAATCCTGAACACAGCAAACACACACACACACACACAGACAGACACACTTCAAATCACCAAAATAATTAATAATATAGATGACACCTGAGCTCATTACTGACTCTCACACATCAAACACAACATACACTCACTGGCCACTTTAGTAGGTACACCTCACTAGTACCGGGTCGGACCCCTCTTTGCCTTCAGAACTGCCTTAATCCTTGGTGTCAGAGATTCAACAAGCTACTGGAAATATTCCTCAGAGATTTTGCTCCATGATAGCATCACACAGTTGCTGCAGATTTGTCCCGTTCCACCACATCCCAAAGCTGCTCTATTGGATTGAGCTCTGGTGACTGTGGAGGCCATTTGAGTACAGTGAACTCATCGTCATGTTCACCAGTCTGAGATGATTGAGCTTTATGACATGCTGCGTTATCCTGCTGGAAGTAGCCATCAGAAGATGGAGACACTGTGCTCATAAAGGGATGGACATGGTCAGCAGCAATACTCAGGTAGGCTGTGGCGTTGATGCTCAATTGGTACTAATGGACCCAAAGAAAATCTCCCCCACACCATTACACCACCACCACCAGCCTGAACCGCTGATACAAGGCAGGATGATCCATGCTTTCATGTTGTTGAGGCCAAATTGTGAGCCGAGCATCTGAATGTGTCAGCAGAAATGGAGACTCATCAGAGCAGCAACGTTTCTCCAATCTTCTATTGTCCAGTTTTGGTGCGTCTGTGTGAATTGTAGCCTCAGTTTCCTGTTCTTAGCTGACACCCGGTGTGCTCTTCTGCTGCTGTAGCCCATCCGCCTCAAGGTTGGCCGTGTTGTGTGTTCAGAGATGCTCTTCTGCAGAGCTCGGTTGTATCGAGTGCTTATTTGAGTTACTGTTGCCTTTCTATCAGCTGGAACCAGTCTGGCCATTCTCCTCTGGCCTCATCAACAAGGCATTTGCGCCCACAGAACTGCCGCTCACTGGATATTTCCTCTTTGTCGGAGCATTCTCTGTAAAGCCTAGAAATGGTTGTGCATGAAAATCCCAGTAGATCAGCAGTTTCTGAAATACTCAGAGCAGCCCGTCTGGCAGCAACAATCATGCCATGTTCAAAGTCACTTAAATCCCCTTTCTTCCCCATTCTGATGCTCGCTTTAAACTGCAGCAGATCCTCTTGATCATGTCTATATGCAGAAATGCAGTGAGCTGCTGCCATGTGATTGGCTGATTAGATATTAGTGTTAACGAGCAGTTGGACAGGTGTACCTAATAAAGTGGCCAGTGAGTGTACAGACACACTTAAACACAATCACTGACCTCTAATAAACAGGTTTATTTACCAGACTGAAGCGGCTGATGTTTCTGTGTCTTTTTCATTCAGTGAGTCCAGCAGCCCTAAACACACACACACACACACACACACACACACACACACTTACAGCTGGTTGAATGAGCTCATTCACACTGCATCTCAAGAGACACACACACACTTACAGGTCAGCATGGAGTCCAGAATGAAGACACACTTCTGAGAGAGTTTATGAGTGCAGTCTTCAAAAGCCCTCCTGACCAGGACACACACCACGGCTGAAACACACACACACACACACACACACACACACACACACACACACACACACACAC